CCTTCTTTTACATTTTAGAAGCTCATTTTTAAGAAAAAAAAATTGTAGGGGTTGAAATTTGAGGGTTCGGAATTGTAGGGGGTAGGGAAGGGTTTATGGACATTTTTTTATGTTAGTATATTTATACGCTCCCAACCGCGGTAATCAGCATTGTGTATATCCCCAAAATCCGAAGATTAAGAGAAGATATGTGTTACAAGCTCAGTCAAACAGTTTGAAGAATAGTTTCCAGTTGTTCAAAGCGGCGAGAGAAAAAATTCTACAGTAGGGATGCTTTGAAGAGTATGAAAGAGTATGAAAACACGATATTTAGGGGGGTATGCCCTCCTACTTCCCACCCCGAATGGACGTTCATTGACCATACTAGTGTTAATTAAGTTGGTTTTCAGGTGCAAGCTAATTTGTTTGTAGGTCGTTGCCCACGATACATTTTCAAAGGCTTAATAAGCAGCTGCTGGATCATCTGACAGCAAAATGGAACAGAAAAAGCGGTTCATGAAATAATCAAACGTCATTAGGCGATACAGCAGCGTGTCCATAGAAATTGTATCGTTACTTGAAACTTCCTGCTTAGACACCCTCAATAATTCAGTGGAGAAAGGTAACACAGGTGTACTTCGATCTCGGTATGACCACAAAATCTAAAGTACCAATAACTGGAGCAATCATTTTTTCATAATTCCAAATACTAAGAAAGACCTTAGTAGATTGTTTCACAATTTACTTTCCACGCCTACAAGCGCGTAAGTATTATAATCGCGAAAAGTTTCGAAAGTCAGATGTTTTTTAGAAGTTATATGACATGTATATCACGAAAACCATGTTAGCCGTTTCCGCCAGTCTGTCTGTCAGTCTGTCTGTCAGTCTGTCTGTCAGTCTGTCTGTCAGTCTGTCTGTCAGTCTGTCTGTCAGTCTGTCTGTAGTCTGTCTGTCAGTCTGTCTGTCAGTCTGTCTGTCAGTCTGTCTGTCAGTCTGTCTGTCAGTCTGTCTGTCAGTCTGTCTGTCAGTCTGTCTGTCAGTCTGTCTGTCAGTCTGTCTGTCAGTCTGTCTGTCAGTCTGTCTTGTCTGTCAGTCTGTCTGTCAGTCTGTCTGTCAGTCTGTCTGTCAGTCTGTCTGTCAGTCTGTCGTCTGTCAGTCTGTCTGTCAGTCTGTCTGTCAGTCTGTCTGTCAGTCTGTCTGTCAGTCTGTCTGTCAGTCTGTCTGTCAGTCTGTCTGTCAGTCTGTCTGTCAGTCTGTCTGTCAGTCTGTCGTCAGTCTGTCTGTCAGTCTGTCTGTCAGTCTGTCTGTCAGTCTGTCTGTCAGTCTGTCTGTCAGTCTGTCTGTCAGTCTGTCTGTCAGTCTGTCTGTCAGTCTGTCTGTCAGTCTGTCTGTCAGTCTGTCTGTCAGTCTGTCTGTCAGTCTGTCTGTCAGTCGTCTGTCAGTCTGTCTGTCAGTCTGTCTGTCAGTCTGTCTGTCAGTCTGTCTGTCAGTCGTCTGTCAGTCTGTCTGTCAGTCTGTCTGTCAGTCTGTCTGTCAGTCGTCTGTCAGTCTGTCTGTCAGTCTGTCAGTCTGTCTGTCAGTCTGTCTGTCAGTCTGTCTGTCAGTCTGTCTGTCAGTCTGTCTGTCAGTCTGTCTGTCAGTCTGTCTGTCAGTCTGTCTGTCAGTCTGTCTGTCAGTCTGTCTGTCAGTCTGTCTGTCAGTCTGTCTGTCAGTCTGTCTGTCAGTCTGTCTGTCAGTTTGTCTGTCAGTCTGTCTGTCAGTCTGAAATTTTTTTACAATGTCTAAGCTTTGTACACTTTGGAAACCAGTCCAGCGGTGGTGCGGTGGCGCTTCGGAAAACAAAACAAACAAGATTCTCAAAGTTCGTTATTCGAAATTAAAAAGGCTTCTGATCATCTTCGGAAAAATTAGTACATACAGCATAGATTTACCCATATATTTGCCCTTAAAACTTATCAAATATCAAACGGGCATACTGCCGTATGCTACTAGCTCATCTTGTGACTGCTGCAGAATCTTTCACCGCAATGCTGCTGGAGCTGACCAGCATAGTAAGGCTTTGTAGTTTTCGAACATCGCTCCAGTGACGGCGGAGCTAGGGGTAAAAAAGTGAAAAAGTTTAAATCACCCAAACTACTTTATTTTTTTGACGCGTCAGATGGTGTTGATCATTCTCAGGAAAATTTTTGTAGAGGTTTAAAGTAAGGGCTGCGGTTGTGAGGGGTTGGGATGGTATATGTCACCTTTTGGCGCTAGTATGTTTACAGCTCTCCCAATTCCGGCAACTCTACCCACCTATCAGGCGTATTTCACACATCACAATTTTTTCTGTGCTGTTGCGTTTGAAACAGAATTATATAGAAACATTTTAAATACACGCACCCTACGCAACGCATCTAACGTTGATACACATTCTTTGGGGTTTGATCTACGCATGAATCGTGTTTTGACCGATGGAGATGGGTGGCTCGGTAGTGGCAAGGTTGGTCATAGCAACGTTGCCTGATGTTTGGTACTGCCGGAAGGATGCAGGAGAAATTTCGAGATCGCAATGTGTCAAGTGGGGGTACCATGTACTTATTGTATGGACCTGATTGTCTGACGATTTGTATGATTTTTTTATATATATATTCGGAGATGACCTTTTTCTAGGGGCTAGCTTGTTTCCTTTAAAAACTGACAGTATTCAAAGTAATGCAGTGACTTTGGCAATGGACATTTTCCATTCAATATTTAAATCCAACAACAAATTAATATCAAACGTGTAAACAGAATCACAGTAAATATTACGTGAAGTATCTCATAGCTGAGCGTTTCTGCGCCAGATACCTTGAATTAGATATTTCAAAGTTATTTCCCGAGATGATAATTAGCCTATGTGCTATTACAGAATATAATCTACCTCTGTATACAATTTCATCCAGATCCGTTTAGCCATTTTGGCGTGAGTGAGTAACAAATATCTACAACTCCTGATTTATAATATTATAGTAGGCATGACGGCATTGCGTAGAAAGTGCAGAGTCAACCTACTTGACGCCTACTTCACGAAGAATCACGTCACTCATTTCCGTCGATCTTTAAGTCTGTCGGTTTCTGACTGTCTGTCCGCTAATCCTTGGCCCGTCTATAACTTGGGATGTACTTTCCTGGATTTGGATGAAATTTCCGCACAAGATTACTGCTATGCCAAGCACGAAAAACCTTTGCAGTTTCTGAAAATTGGTTCAGTGGAGCCTGTGAAAAAAGCCAAAAACGAAAAAATTAAAACTGCCTCAACTTTGTATTTCATCGTTTCAGTGGCTCTTGATCATTTTTGGAAACATTTTTGGTGGGGTTACCAATTAAGGGTTAAGGGTTGCAGTGGATGAGGGAATTTTTTGACGCTAGATTCATATAATAATAATATATAATAATAACGCCTTTATTTGTTGTACAGGTGAGGGACAAAGATAGCGAAGTTTAGCCTAGGCTACTCTTACACTTAACTCTTTGTGAGTACATTTAGAGCACGATGTAATGTGCGTTGCCTAAGATGTTATAAAAAAAAATTATAGTTATAACTAAACTATAGTATAAACTAAAATACACAACTATATACAGTATGTACATGAATAGATATATACACATATATATATATATATATATATATATATATATACCTATACATACATACATATACATATATACACCCATACACACCTTATAATATTTAGATAGATATATATATATATATATATATATATATATATATATATATATATATATATATAAGGATAGATACTGCACCAATATCAGGTAAGGGTGAATACAAATTGTTTTATTGTCTCCAGCCTCAGGAATTCTTCGCATCTATTAAACTTCTGTACATTTACACTCAAAACTTAGGAACATATCCATGAGTCATGCGTCGTGCGTCGCAGTCGGCAATCGCTTCCGTGCTGTTCTGGGCTTTATGCTGAAAAAGTCAATATCGTCATCCTCGTGGGATTAGGCGCAGCAACGACCATATGCGTCCTCAAGACTAGGGGGATAGTCTTTTTGTTGCACATAGTAGTAGCTAACTCTTCTCAGAAGCGCCAACTTTTCTCAGAAGCGCTGTGCCGAACATAATCCTTCAGGAACTGATAACAGCGTTGCGTGGGCAGTACAGAGCTTACTTGACGCAATATTTCGTCTGCATAGATGGCAACTACAGCCCAGCGGCAATGAACGCGTTATAGCATGCGATATAGCCTATATGTTTCGGTTGCATCTTTGCAACACTGTTTCCAATATGTAGACACATACGCCTTTCAAAATTTTTCATCAGAAGCTCTACAAAATCAGGCAAGAGCGACTGATAAAATTGTACGGAAGAAATAAATCTGTTTTCATAAAGTATTGGTAAAATCTGTAAATTATTCTCTATGTGATTAGATTTTATTGAGCTACCAGGCACATTACACGATTTAGTTTGCAACTATCCAACGTTTACATATGTCCCGCAGACAAGACGTTTCGTAGCATTACATGGAAATATTTCATTGCAGAAACATACCTGTCGCTATATGTGAAACATGTCTTGGATGAGGTTCCAGAAACGATTTCACAAAGTTACCTAAGCTCAACTAACCAAAATGACCATAGGAAAGTATTCAGCGTAACTTACCAGGCTGATAAAACTTGATTTTTATCATTTGTTTTATCAGCCTCAATTTTTTTAAGATTCAGAAAGAAAACATAACTTCACAATAGGAGAGCACAGATGCTGACACCGAAAGGCAAAAACCTAAAAATACTCCAGTTTTTGTGAAGGAGAGAAAATACTATGAAAATCGTGGAAGCCATAAAGGCGTCCTACAATTATTGCAGGAACAAAGATACCTTTAGAGCATATAAAATCTTTGCTTTCCATGATTCTAGTTGTTTATGAAAAATACTGTATATAGCAATCATATCTATATTTTTATGATACGTTGTTCAAACAGTCTAGGATTGGTTTAACACGTTTGATAATCATATTTATCAGTAGTAAATGTGTTCGTTCTGTGTTAGGTATGTATAATTCGGGTATTTTTGGTCACTCACAATAACTAACTTTTAGTCAAGAAGGCCTACTACTACCTATACAGGTTGATTCAAAATACAGTGGCAATATTTCTACATTGACAGCTGGCTTATTCCATGATTGACAGGTGGATCAGGAGAAAACATCCAGGGTGTCCTTTGGTACACTCTGTTTATCTTTATGTCATGCGCATATTTTCTTGTGAAATGTTCTGGATCTCCGAGCTTTGACATTCTCTGATAAAACTAAACTAAAACTTTAAGGCTAATTTTTGTACACGATATCCGCTGTTGGACAAGTTTCTAGCGTTGCTGAGGCACACTCATCGCCAATATCACTTTCACATTGTCTGATCATATAAGGTCGACTCTCAAGCTGTAGGAACTCCATAATTCGTTCTTTATCATTCAAATTATCAAAAATCTCGTTAATACGCTGCGGAATAAACAAACAGGATGAAAAAGCATAACAATGGCAAAATCACAAAATTGCAAATGTCTCTGACAACTCTTAAGACTTAAGTAGGGTGTAATGACTTTGAGCACGAACTACTCGAAATACGTAGGAGTATATACCTTCCTCGCATGGGTAAAATTGAAAATACTCACTATATACTCCTAAGCAGCACGATATTCTGTTAATTTTAATTCCTACGTCTACCGGCAATCGCGATAAATTTTGAAATTACATATATTTTTTGGATGTTATATGACATGTACACCACGAAACCTTGTTTTTATTTCCGTCGGAGTGTCTGTTGATCTGTATATCGGTATGTAGGTATGTTGGTCTGCCAGTCGGTCTGTCCGCAAATCCTTGCTCCGTCTATAAATCGGAAAGCACTACTCGGATTTGAATGAAATAATTACACAAAGTCACAACCTACGCCTAGGACGAAAAAGCTTTGTAGATTTTGAAAATCGGTCTAGTGACGGCGCAGAAAAATACCAAAAATTCAAACCTACGAATCGCTATACTTCATTTCTTGACGTATCAGAGAATACTACACATTTTTGTAAGAAATTTGAGCGGTAAAGCATATGGGGTGAACGTTTTAGGGGGATGGGGGAGAGGGTGAGCGTTAGGATGTATCGCAATTTTTCGATGTAAGTATATTAACACACTCCTCCCCGAAAGCTCTACGCACCTATATTCACATTTGGATTTCCCCGTACATTTGCCCTTAAAACCTAGAAATATAGTCTTCAACGGTCGAAGTGCCGGTCTTTTTCGCATGACTGACGTTGTGCCGCAGAGCCGCGTCTGACTCATCGTGGGATTAAGGGGTTCGTAACAAGTTTTTTTTCTCGTTTGGTCTAACTTAAACATGCTGTTTCCGTTCGTCCGATCAAAGGTAGCCAACCATGGACAGCTGCTTTGTGTTTTTGTGCTTTTTTGGCAACTCATCAGCATGGTCTGGCATTCGTCTCTGAAACAACGAACGGAAGTATAGCAACTACTGCTTATACAGGATATGCCGCCGCCTCATGTCGATATGATCTAAATTGTGCTGAACACAACCCTTTATGACTTCGTTTTGCGAGAAGTCAACCTACTTGACGCTATTTCTAATATAAGTTATGTGCTTTTGTGTGTTTTATTATTGAAGTGAAAAATTATTACCACCATGTGCTCACATAAAAACAATAGTTTAAAATTCGTCAATGGGTGAGCTTTAGACAAACATTTGTAAACTTGAGCTTTAATGAAAAATCGTGTTCTAAAATGAAAAAAGAAATGTGGATGAAAAGCTTAAAGCACATATGCTATAAAATATGTAACTGCAAAAATCTCATCGATGCAATTAACTTGAAAGGCCCCGCTCATAGACCCACATCATTTGAGATCCTTTTTAGACCAAAATTTGTTTCTTAGGTAAATGGGATACGTAGATCACGATCTGATGCTAGTTCTGCATTGAGATTAACGAGAGGCATTAAGATTTGTTTATAGAATAGAACAATTGTTTCAATTGGGTAATTGCCCATAGTACCGGGATCAGCATACTGTGAGGATTACAATGAAAGTATTCAATGTCAGCCTGAGGAAAGCCGTAGAATGGTTCCTGAGAAGATTCACAGTTGATAGGTTCACACGATACGTGTTTAGGGTTACTTATAATACCACTACTGTTTAGGGTAAGTAGAAATATTGTCATGTTTTATAAAGGGTGATCCAAACTTTACGCAAAATTTGAATTCAATAGAAAACACGGTTTTTCTGCTTTATATTGTTATTTTTACTTGTCACGCCTACTGGCGAGAAAATATTGTGATCGCAAACATTTTAGAAAATCAGATATTATGTTCTTTGGATGTGCATCACGAAATACGTCTAATTTCCGATGGTTTGTCTGTTGGTCTGTCGATCTGTCGATCTGTTGGTCTTGAGAGTATTTGGAGCACTTAAGTCTCTATCGATATTTAAGACCATTCCTCCTCAATTCCAACGATATCGTACTCTTAGAAGATCTGTGTTGACGAGCCAGTCTCCTTGTTGACATTCCAACCTAATTTTTTGCTCTTCTCACCAATCTCCCCTGACCTGTGTGCAGTAAATGCACGTGGTCCTTTTTTGGAGATTAAGACATGGCATTCCCTGCTCGTACTCCGCTATTGTTCAAGCAATGGTAATGCGTGAAATATTTTCATTCTGGAATATTCGACAGATTTCAGCTTTGGGTACCCGCCCAACCAATTTTTTCTTATTTCTAATTTATACGACATCCTAGAGCGAAACGTTAAAATAAATAAACGTAAACTGACAGTAAAGTAGGTAAACACATTTTTGTTCCCAAAGGCAACTTGATATTATTTTGTGTTTGTTAAAATTAAAGCCAATGAATTTTCTGCCAAAACTTTTAGGACATACGTTAATAAGGTTCCAGTGAGATGACGTTGCCAGATGGAAGGTACTACGGATAAGGCAGGAAAATAATGCCTTTGGACTAATTGTATGGACCTATTTGACGGACTTGATCGGCTTAATCTCTCTATTGTATATGTTCGTAATAACCTTTAATCCCAGACGGCTTAACTTGAGCTTGCTGCTTTCGTCCGTCCGACCAAAGACAGCCAAACATGGACAGCTGTCACCTGTTTTTTGCAGGTCATCAGTATGGTATAGGCTTGGTCTCTGGGACAACAAACGAAAGCATACCAAATATCCTCTATTCATCATTGTCCGTCAGAGCGGTCCGTAGGACCTTTGCTCTTTGTTACAGTATCGTAGGTCAGGTCTGTCAGGTCTGGTCGCCCAATTACCAGACGAAGTCAGGCCACAAAGAAAGGAAGGAAAAAGAAAGAGAGGAAGGAAGGGGGAAGAGCAAAGAAAGTGAAGTGCGCCAGTTAAGAGGGTGCCTGGCTATGGTTAACTGCCATTCAGTTATTTTAAATTGATCCAAAAATTAATTTCGGAATTTGTATGTGTGACAAAAAATCATAATTTTGGTTGGACCTAGAATTGCACGATTTCGAATTCTCGATTGTGTTGTCTACTGAATCACGCAATAGAGTAAATGTATGGTGAGGAACATTTTCCTCTTTGAAAAGACGAATCAACTGCCGATAATCGTCTTCGCTTTTAGGTACGATGCGCCACTTTGCCGCATCCCGCAGCACAGCAGGTGTAACACGTCCTTGACGGGGAGATTGTGCCTGCGTGCCGAGGGTAGCGTTAGATGACGGAGAGGTAGTGTTGCTGCCAGCCAACGAAGCAGCATGTGAGACTGAAATCGAGTTGCGACTTTCGTTTAAGCTAGGTGCTTGAATTTGAGAGTGCTTTGGCTGGCTTGCAGAGCTTCCTGGTCAGCGATTATTTGGTGCAGCCTCTTCTCTTCGGTGTCTCTTTCAATCTCTGCTCTGCTCTGTTCAGCTGTCAAAACCTCCCTAGGGCTCGTATTCTCGAACCTCTCAGGTACGCCGCTATTTACTTCTGCTTCACTCGCAGTGATGGAGGGGTTGCCTGGTTACCCCTCGGACTTTCCATCTTATATTCTCCTTTTCTCTCAGCAAATTCTCAAAATTTTGAAAGAGCAAAAATCTGACAACTTGTCTTTTCCCTGTCTACAGGGTGCTTTCACCAACTATTCTCTATGCAGGATATGGCGCTGTCCTTTATGAACTGATGGCAGCGTCGCTTGGGAAGTGAGCCTACTTGAGGCCATTTATTGCATCATAAAGTAGATTGTATAAGCTTATCTATGGAAAATCAACGGTCAAGCAAACGGTCTCGTTAGCTTTGCTGCTTTTATTAAAATTTTATTAGATCATTTTGCATAAATGAGGATGAGATCCATTGATGCGGGACTGTGCTTCTTCAAACAATATTCATGTGCGAGACACATGTCGCTTAAGAAGGCAGTGCCACACGCCATGAATCACGTGAAACAGTTCAGTTATAGTCAGTTCTTGGACGTGATCAAAATTGACCTGCTAGCCCCTTCTGTGAGATTGTTTCTGCTTAAATTGGAATATATTGATGCGAATAGCGTGTGAATTGAACAAGACGGTTCCTCATTCCATCCAGCCAGTGAAACAATTGAAGGGCTTGGGACAAGAAGGTACCTCAGCCACATTTGGACAACAAAAAACACATTACTATCTAAAAGCACCCGTGGCCTAGGTGTGTATGTTCGAGTTTGTTTTTTTGAGAATTCGCTGACAAATGTCGCTATAGCTTCTAAATGTTTTTGAATAAGAACAATGATAAGAAAACAAAAGTGGATCGTGGTCTTAGATCATATGACAGTGTGAAGGGTAGACACTATCCTCTGACTGATAGCAGTTTTGACTATAAGCGAGCAGCTCATGCGAATAAATAAATTTGTGACTTATGACTTAATTGCTGTTACTGTACTTGTCCTTCTTTGTATTTACTCATGTGCATGTAGCTAGAGCTGGCTTTCGTGGCAACGTTCGTTGGTCTTTTGACCGTAGCTGGCTCTTGTTGGTGACTTCTAGTTGTGTTTCTCTTTCCATCCTTGTTTTCCTTCAGGTTACAATCGTATACACATGTGAGGGCGGATGTTTTCACTTGGGAGTTTTTTATCCATATCCATTTGGGCCTGATGAAGCCAATAAGCAAAAACGTACGTCGCTTGGGTTACCAATCCTTCTACAGGGTGTTTCAGAACTATGGGATTCAAAATGTCTTTCTCCAACCTGAATACACACACTTACAGATTGAATGGGGAAATGCAACAATGCCTCAATAACATTAAGCCACATTTATGCAAAATAATCTTGAACCTTTTCATCAAAAGATTGTGATGTGCCAGCCAGCAAAGCCTTTATTTACCTGATTCATCATAACATATACAGGAGGTGTCCTTATTGAGGACTCGGTCAATAACTCCGTTACCGTATGGTATCTGGAAAGTTAATTACAAAGATTATAGCTAACAGTATGCTCCTGGCTTGAACAATATGTTAATCTCTTCAGTGTGATTCATACCTATAGTGTGACCCAAACGTAAAGCTTTTTAAATGGGAAGCCCTACATCTTATTACAACAACAACGCTGTTTGATATATACATATATATATATATATATCTTCAAACTGTTAAGATATTGGATGCTTTATCAAAAAAAAAATAATACACTCAATTTAGTCAACATGCACCTCCGCAATTGTCAAGCTATGAATTCTTCGTAAAAAATATGATAGATATTTTCTCCTTCTCTACTTACTTTTTCAGTAAGAACCTAACAATAGACTGGCCTAGGGCATCAAAACACTTGACCCGGCACTGTGTATGCATATATGAAGATGAAGTTCGAAAAAGTACCTACAATGGATGTTGATGACCTAGTGGCATCGATACAACGGTTCAGTTGGCCCGATTATGCTATGTTCGTGCTATCTTTAGGTAGGTTTAATAATCATAGCTGTCATTGATTAACATACTCTACCAGAACATACTCAATTCAATTGAAAGACGAAACATTTTACGTCTATAGTAGAATTGTATTTTCTGACACACACCTCGAGAGCGGAACATTTTCACATTCAGAAATGACCTTGGCCATCACGATGACCTTCAGGTCTTCAGAGGCCGACTTAAAAATCTCAACTCAACTATAGTCACTGGTGGAAGGGCTGGAAAATTTTATGTTTCGACGTGACACTGACTGAATTAATTGATCTTGAGCCACCTTAAAGCCATGATCAAAGTCAATTTTTAAGCATTTTCCGCTTTTCCTACATGGGGAGTCAAAAACAAACGATTCCCTATTATAACATTATCAAGTTGTTGACCTATAAATTACCTCCAAAGTATGGTCAAGGTTACGGTCCTGGTCATCTCTGAACGTAAAATGTCCCATTCTTTCCACTGATGGGACCAAATTCATCTTTATATGACTTTCAAAGTCAAGGTCACCGTTGAATTGCCGTTTCAATTTTATTAAATGGAATATGGAATTTGTTTTTGTTAATTCGGGATCTTACTTGACAACGTGGCTGTGACGGTGGAAGCTTTATGCCCAGGTACATTAAGAGGGTGGGTATCTTATTGGAAATTATGTTAATCAATGTAGCTATGCAATATAAAGTTGAACTTATTAATATATACTAAAAGTATGATGGCAGTGCTACGTCTAGATGTTTCTTTGTTTAAGGTATATGTCTTGCGGTTGGAATATACTTCGGAATTTTTGCTAAGACGAAAAATGCCCAGGAATATTTAGTCGGTAGTAGGAGCATGTCTGTATTTCCTATAACAATGTCACTAACAGCAAGGTACGCTTAGAAATGGAGTGATGTACATTTGTAATTGGGTATTGAATGTTATCCATCAATTATAGTCTAGGGGACATCTTCCTATTTGATGGGAAAATATCCAAAATCCGTTTATTTGTATAATCTCATTCCAAAATGATGCTTCGATTTTATTTCACGGGCTGCAGGCCAAACTGCTTGACATGCGAGGTGCCTATAGATTTCTCTTGATAGCACAATTAAATCTTCAGTCTTTTCAGTTACTGCAGCCGGGTTGTTTGTATTTTTCTAAATTATACTTGTAATTAGAATAGCAAGATAGTAAGATGTCCAAGATAAAGATCCTATGCATGGGATGCGAGAGAGAACTTACGTGCGGTTGGGAAACTTATAAAAATTTAATGGCTTACTGAGATATATCGGAAAAACAAAAATTTGGCCATTGGATTAAGATCCTTATCTTGGACATCCTGTATATCTCCGAGCAGATGTAAAGATGCCTCCTGGACTATGAACAATATAAAGAAAAATAAGAAAGAATAAAGAGGGAGGTCAAAGTATTTAACACATAATGTAATAAGTTCGCAAATGATTTATTCTTAATGATTCTATTGAATTAACTTTACCATGGCATTTGCAGTTGGGTCAGTGGAATATCTCTGTTAGGAACTCCAACGGAAATCTACGTTTATGGTACACAGTACATCTATATTATAGGAGGAGTACTACTAGCAACGATATTTATGTCATGGATGTACTTACCAGTTTTTCATGACCTCAATCTGACTTCTATGTATGAGGTTCGTACAAATTAAGTTAACTTGTTGTTTTCGAAAAAGTTTTTAAAAAGTTTTATTTGAGAGAAAACCGTGTACAGAGAGACGTTTATCGATTGAGGTTTGATACAGACTAAATGAAAAGAACGTTATACAATTCAAAGGAAAGAACAAAACTAATAAGAATGTTTCGCGACGTGCTGATTTGACTCCTTCTTTGGTGTAGACTGGTACATTACATTACTTACAAAAAAGTCAAACATATCATCTGAAAACAGAATATCAAGCTTATTCGTTTCCTACAATTATTGTGGGTTTAACTGAATCAGTATGTTTTCCATCTCTGTTCTCATTTCCAACCGACCACAACGTTGTTTCATGCTTTTTAGCAATCATCAATGCGGTACAGGTCTTAGTGTGGAGCCGGACATACAGAAAGCAAACAAGCGAATCAGGTTTATTCAAAAATTCAGTTGTGTTGGTTGGTCATTGTTGCAGAGGCGGTAAGCGAACACACTTTGTTCAGCCTATGTCTCCTTATGCAATTGTCATTGCTGCTGGCCTTGGGGGAACCTCGCATTGCGGTTGATTGACAGGTCCTCCTTTTGCCATCATTCAATGTGGGCCAGAGGTGCAGGAGCATTCTGGAATTTTCAGCGTCTGGGCTGAGATATACCAAGCATTGGCGAACTATTTTTAGTGGACAGTTGTCAGTGTTTACACTATCTTGCGTTCAGTAGAAGGATTTAAGGCAATAAGGTACCTGTGTGACCAGGACCTTACCTTATGCAACCTGTCGCACCATCTGGAGTCAGCCATCAGGCAATATTCTCGTGACAGGTACGGGGTGTTACGAGTCCAAGCGAAGGTGGTCAAGGGCCGAGGAAGGGGCAATCTCGCCCGATCTATGAAAGCGGGCGGACCTATAGGAGGTTTTGGCGGACGTATGCAGGTTTTGCCGCGGCGCCATGAAGAAGTCAAACCCTTATCATTACGTGAGAGACGTGAAATATATAAAAATCGGAAGTCTCAGTATGACTACTAATCGCAGCGGACTTTTAAATCAACTGTGAGAGGAGATATACTCAGTCACATTGAAAGTGTTACACCCAGAAAAAATAATTTCCTCAACTTGATTTTTTAGCAATGAGGTAGTTTTACATCAAGAATGAAACGATAACATTCTCACAAAATTTTATTGAAAAGTAATAAGAAAAAAATAGTTATTTATTATACGAAGGAAAAAAGTAAGTACTAGACGTTCCGTGACAGAAAAAAGTTTGACATTTTATCGCTGTTGACAGGTAACAAAATGTCACTTTTTATGAAATTACTTGCTTACGCTTATTTTTTTCCGGGACATTCTTCGATTTAGCTGACAATAATTTTTGTGACGCTACTTTGGCTACGTCTACTAATTCCGGTGGAGTAAAGAAAACTTGGAATCAGAAATTTTTTACTTTATAGTATTGAAAATAACTTCTAAACAACCACTTAGTTTACAATTTTTAAATCACATCACACAATTAAATTGATTACTTTAAAAGTTTCCTTAGCAACGAAGGTCTAATTGTCGCTATAAGTGCAACATAGCCTACTAATCTCAAAATTCAAATTTCACATCGATAATTTTCTGACTTAAATATTGTAATAATATAGTTTTTCAATATTAGTTCGTCGTTTTTCCCGTGACTGAAAAAAATTGTGTATTATATACGGGAAAAATACTAGATTTATATAATAATAATTATTTATTATACAAAAAATAGTTATTTATTATACACGGAAAAAACACTAGATCTTAGCTTGAGGTTGTATTGTTTCCCGACGCGCAGCGTGACGGGAAAAACGACGATTTAATATTGAAAAATTATATTGTTACAATATTTAAGTCAGAAAATTATCGACGAGAAATTTGAATTTCGAAATTAGTAGGCTATGTTGTGCTTATAGCCTTCAACCAGACCTGCGTTGCTAAGGAAACCTTTAAAGTAATCACATAGCTGTCAATCTAATTTTGTGATTGGATTTAAAAATTGTGAACTTGGTGATTGTTTAGAAGTTATTTTTAATACTATAAAGTAAAAAAATGTCTGAATTAGTAGTAGTTACAAAAATTATGGGCAGCTAAGTCGCGGAATGTTTACGAAACCACGTATTCAAGATTCGTGGAATGGAAGATGAAAACAGCATGCAGTTCTTTGTCGGAGGCTTATTTTTCGGAATTTGCACAACAACAAAAGCCATCAACAGTGTGGCTGAATTATTCAATGATTAAAAGTATGTTACGATCCAATAATAATGTAGACACTTCAAAATATTTCAAACTAATTACATTTCTGAAACAAGAAGGGAAAGGTTACAAGCCCCAGAAAGCTGCGATTTTTACTAGTACACAAATTAGTGATTCTTAAAATAATGCTCTCGATGAAGTTTTTTGAATGGCCAAGGTTGATGTATTTGGGATTGTAGGAGCTTGTCGAATTTGTGAAATCAGCCAGGTAACATTAGATAATATTGAAGATTCGGGAACGCTATTAATTGTGAAACTTCAGGAAACAAAGAATGATGTAAAAAGGAGATTTGTAGTTACTGAAAAATATATTAAATTTTACTGAATGTACCCCTTCGTGGAAAATGTATCAATCAGGGTGTGGGTAAAAACCAGTTTTATAAGGTTCCCGAAGGAGTGGCTAATTTTCTTCAACTTGAGAATGCTAACTCATATACAGGTTATTCAATTTCAACACAAGAAAATTCTATTGTTGTACCGAATAGTTTCAGGAACGTGTCATTCGTTCAATGCACATTTAATAATTGTACTTTTGATACAAAGGAAATGTAACTTCATTGTATAATAAAATATTCTAAAATTAAATATCTACCTTTGCTTATGTGTTTATACAATATCCGGGAAAAAAGTACTCATTTTTTTCCCGGGGAAAAAATTGACATTGTCTTACCTGTCAACAGAGATAAAATGTCAAACTTTCTTTCCGTCACAGAAAAAATTAATAATGTGTTGGGCTTTCCAGCTGCTAAATACACTCCAGTATCTTGACGCTCTGTGGTACGTCTCGGTGGACCAGTTGGCCTTCTTCGTGTTCCTCTACCTTCTTCTATCCACACACGACACACACGCATTACTTTCATTGTAGGCGACCAATTTCGCGATAGTGCAAACCAATATCTCTACACTTGTCAAAGTCGCTAACATGGTGATAATTTGAAATTTGAACGTCTTTGAACTCGAGAAATTTTGTTATGCTTAATACTAGTAAATGAAAGGGCAATAACTAAAAATATCTGTACTAGTCTGATTTCAGAAACTTCTTTCTTCACAAAGACTAAGAGATAAGATTTACACAAAGGTAAACAAAAACAAAGATGAACCGTTGACATTGTTGATACAGCATGGTCTAAATATAGTCATCATGTTGCCAAAAAAATAAGTTGGAGAAATTATTTTTTCTGAGTGTATTATTTCCATGGCCCAGCCACTCGGCCCTTCTTCAGCTGTGCTGAGGTGACTGCATAGAATCTTCAAGCTGCGAGGGGTTGCGCTTAGGAGGATCACACTTGATAGACGTGAGTCCGTTAACTAATTGTCGGGACTAGTTCTATTGTACTAGACTACAGAATAAATCGTTGTTTCTGTAGTAGCGTAGATTTTAATTACGCCCTGGTCCACCACAGCTAGAAAAAAAACACAATTTCAACCCTACACCTAAGCCACAGTTGAAAAAAAAACACCCTTTGAAAGCACCCGTGACGCAAGCATCTATGTCCTTAGTTGATTTCTTAGACAATTTTGATAGATGTCGTCCCAAAAAAATGGAAAGGTGTTCAAAAATGAAGTTTGAGGGATTTTTATTATTTCGTTTTTCCCCGTAGCTCCGCCTTCACTGGATCGATCTCCAAGAATTACCTTTTTTGTCCTTGGCATAGTAGTAAAATTGTCATTAAAATCTCAGCGGTATTTTCTAAGTTATAAGCAAACAAGTAGACAAACAGACTGTTCTCTGAATTCTTAGTAATTCCAATACTTCCCAATTGACGTGAAAAGTAATATGCCGCGTGCAAATGCAATTATGGAATGTTTTAATTGTTTCAGTATCACGAAAGACGTTTTGATAAGAAAGTAAGGTTATTTGCATCTATTCTTTTCGCCATTGGAATGATAAGTTGGTTACCCGTAGTGATATATGTACCAGCTCTGGCGTTTAATCAGGGTAAGTTTTTGCAAGTCATTTCAAATTAGTTATACAAAACTTTATCTTTTTTGTTTTGAGTTTTTTTGCTATCAATTACTGATGATTTCTATTGTTTTCATATAACAGAGTGCTTAATTTTCTATTTTAGTTACTGGAGTAAATGTTCACCTTATAACACCTATTGTATGTACCATTTGTATAATATACACATCTATGGTAAGTGGTGGAATAAATTTTGCATGACTAAAGACTTTGGTGTTCCTATTCTTTCTGCATTTTCTTCCAACCTCCCTTTTCCTGTATTAGCTTACGGATTTTATCTTCCTGTACGATCATTCCGATCCACAGCTTTGCTGATGACAGCACTCCACACGCAGGCATCAGTATCGCAAGTCGATATCCGCTGAAGAGAAGAAGACTAGCAGCAACTTCTTTTCTGATGAGAGATCTGGGGGTTACGACTGCTTGCAGACGTGAAAATCTGGTACAGTTCAGTGCTTCCAAAATACAACACTGTACCTTGCCTAACAAGAAGCGCTCTAGCGTTCACCAGGTTTCGATGGATAGGCGAGCTGTGACAAGGAGTCATTTTTTCCGGTTGATCGGAGTCCAGATCACCATAGACTTGATTCAGTACGAACACACCTCGTTCCTAGCAATAGCTGCTGGGAAAAAGTTAGCTTATTTCTTTAGCAATAAAAATTACTTTTCTCCACATAACCCCCGTATTCCATTCTGTTCAGAAGAGGGCTGTCCTACTAATATTTCTCTAATGAGCAGTCTCGGAACCCTTTTTATTTCTGGCTCTCTTCTATCGCTATATCAACGGTTTTTAGGCTTGCCAGACGGACCTGCCTACTTCTGCCTTGCACCCTAACTGTCGAACTTCGAAGCATATACAGGGTGTAAAGTTAGTAGTGGATCAATGGAAGTCAGGTGATAGAGGGCCTCAAAGCCTATTGAATGAGCCCCTATATGTGTGGTCTAAAATTTTATAGTTCAGGAGATATTTATAATTTTGTGAAATGTCAAAAAAACGGGATGCTGAACTTTCAATCATAATTACAACTAAACAACTAGACTTAGAACTGCTTTTTTTCTGAGATGAGCTGAATAGCTAGTTTTAGCAATAGTTATGTCACTTTTTAACAGAGCTTATTAGACATCAACGCAAAAAGTCTGAAATTGTTTTTTGTGAAAAATACCTTCCATTCATATTCTCCGCGAGATTATGCAGAAATGCATTACTATTATGGTGCTGTCATAGAAAATGCTCGAGCAGCTGCTCGCATGTATCGCGAGTCTGTGGTTAGAAGAGGTGGACCACAACCGGCGGCACTCGTATATCCCGACTACCGCGTTTTTCTACGCGTCCGTAATGCGTATATGGAGGAACGCATACTAGGCACTCATGGTCAGGTAGTAGAATATAATAGAAGCAGCCGAGAGAGATCCCTCTATAAGCACCAGAGCCACCGCATGAAGCAGAAGCATATCCCATACTTCAGTGCACACAACACTATGCTTTGAGATATGCCATCCTTACCATGTACAAAAAGTACAAGAATTGCTTCCAACCGATTATGCACAACAGGTTGAATTTTGTGAGAATATGTGGAGAAGGTGCGAAGAGGGTTAAACTTTTTTCGACAGCATCTTATGGACAGGTGAGTCATACACAACACAAAATACACAATTTCCATGCATGGAGCGTGGAAAATCCATGAGCTGCTAGAGGATGTACCTCTGGACGTTCGAAGTCGCCTGTATGTTCAATGCGATAGTGCCCCATGCCACTTTGCACCGAATGTACGGCATTATTTAGATAGTGCCTTTCCTGGGCGTTGGGTAGGTAGAGATGGATACCTACGATGGCCTTCAAAGTCACCCGATTTAAATCCTCTAGATTTTCTTATACGGGGGTTTCATAAGGGAATAATCTATACATCTGAATATATACAAATATCGCCAGCTGCGCCAGAAAATTGACGAAGCAAAAAAGATTATGGAAGACGCAAATTCATTTCAAAGACTAAAGGACAATTTTATTAGAAGGTGTCGCTTGTGTATAGAAAATAATGGAGGCCATTTCGAACATGTTTTTTAAAAGTTAAATTATCTTCCACATTTGTCGGTAAATCGTTATAAAGAGCGGCTAAACACAATAGGTTCTGTACTTGTAGGTGGTAAGGATTCTATTGCGTTTCTTACGTTTATCGCATCACAACAACGAATGAGACATGATACACTCATTTGTAGTAAGCTTAAATTTTCATGGTTCATTCTACATGGATTGAAATAGTTTTTACAATAAAATGAATAATGAAATACAACCTCATTTTTTTACCGAGATTTTTCACAAAAAAAATGAATTTATGATTTTTGCATTGATTTCTAATAAGCTCCGATAAATAGTGACATAACCATTACTAAAACTGACCATTTAGCTCATCTCAGAAAAAAAATCATAGCCCTAAACCTAATGGTGTATTTGTAATTGCGATTAAAAGTTCATTATCCCGTCTTAGGTATATAGGGGTTCATTCGATAGGTTTTGAGGCACTCTATCACCCGACTTCCGTTGATCCACTACTGATTTTACATTCTGAATATTGTATTTTGTTTTAGAAACAAAATTTTATCTATCTTTCATCTCTTTTTAATTCAATAATAGAACCCTCATTATTATCGCTACTTCATAACTATCCACTTATGCCTCTGCCTGCCTCATAGTCTCGTGTATTTCGCTGAACGATCCTTTTCCGAGGAAATTAGAGTCCAGTAGGGCGGGAATACACCTGAAAGGCAGAGGTGTGCAGGAAAGCTTCCCGCTTGAAACCTACATAACAGTCTTCTAAGCAGTCCCTTTAGTCCAGGAATGCACCACTGCTCTTCAAAGTTATGCCTAATCTAAAGAAGTCACCCCTGCTTTGGTTTGCCCCACAGTGGATTACCTTGTTACGAGAGAGCTGACTATCTGGATAGGTTGAGGGCCAAGGCGTTCCTGCATCGGTCCCAAGTCCAAGTTGGGTATGACGGCGTTCCAGGTCAACGTCGCACTGAACGAATAGGCGGATAGGGACCGAGGAAAAGTGTGGCTAGAGAGAAAGAGATGACTGCAGCCAGGTCAAGAGGTTGCTGGGTACTAAACAGAAGTAGAGACTCTCTTGGTGGGACTTCTTATTGGCCGGTGTAAACTGGACAGGCATTTATCTCTAATGGTCAAAAGAGAGTTTTCCCCATCCACTGCAGCCTAAGGGCTAAGGTATTCGTAGCCGTGGAAATTGATAGCCAAGTTGAATATTTAGCCGATTAGCCGGAGTTTCTGACCATTGGGAGATCAAGAAGGCTCTACAGATCAAAGGATAAGCATGTGGAGTAGAGTGATAGTACACTCGCGGTTGTCAAAAACAGCCACAGGTGACCTTCTTGCCAGGCTTCGCCACCTCACCTCTACTACTGCTACTACTATGCAACTGCATGTAAAAAATCAAGTTTTGCCAGGATGAACACATTGTAGGGTGGAATAAAAGCTGTTGTTTGGACTGATGTGATTCAAATAATAATCATGTTTGGCGCAATGATACTTATTGCAATAAAGGGAACTTGGAATTTAGGAGGTATTGGAGAAGTGCTCAGAAGAAATTGGAGTGGCCAACGAATAGAGGGACCAGTGTAAGTAGCCGATAATTTACTACGTACTGTATACAATTTTCCAATGTATTTATATCCTTGTCATATGATTTGTAATGGGTTTCTTATAGTAGAGAAGATAATGAAAATTAGATTTTCTGAAAACCACATTTCTTGTGAAAATCTGACGATTGTATTATACCAACGGTTTGCCAAACTAACTTTTATCCTCATCCCGTACAATGAAGATGACAGAGGACTCTCTGGCTTTACAACTGCTCGGCGAGCTATTAACAGAAGATGTCCCACCACCACTACGGTGGACCAGTCAATTAGACGGAATACAGACTGGGTTAAGTAGCAATGATTTTCTATGCATATACAGGGTATTATTTAAGTGGTCAAACTTCAGGAGGTGATTTCTTGGGTACTTTCTAAATGAAAAGTTTATACCAACGTAGGTCCAGAAATCCTTCTTTTAAAAATCGGTTTTTCCTAAATGTCTTAATAAACGTTTAGTCAATTTCGTTCAAATTTAGCAGTCGTAGTACGGGGCTAATTTAGCCCCAATAAGATTGAAATTATTAAGTCCAGGCGGGTTCTGAAAAACACCCTAACCAATATGTTTGACAAAGAATTCGTGCGCAACTGACTTTTTCAATTTTTCATTTTTTTTTTTCGAATTAAGCAGCTAAAAACACAACTGTTTTGTCTTCCGAGTTTCTTTCATAACTCGCTTTATTTGCGAGAAAAAGAAATAAAAAGCACTTTATTGCATGTTTTTGATAATTAGGTTACACGAAAGTCGTCTATTGGTTTTTTGCTCAGATTATACCTGGTTTCGATAAAACAAATAAACATAAGATATTCACATAACGTTATTTATTCTTGCAATGTTTTGCCAGTGGCGTTGCACATTGGTAACGCTGGAAATAAAAAAAAATCGAACCGGAAAAACGTCTTTTTAAAACGATACTAAGCTTTTATTTCAATGAAAAAATTTAACAGTAAATAACACGAGACTCATAGTAGGTGCTGAAAATGCCCCATTGCAAGCATTAGCTCGTCTCAACATTGATTGACGAACAGGTTGAAGTATTCCCGGCGTAATCTCGTATCCGATGGGTCAATTCTTCTTCAGTGTTGACTGAAGTTTTGAAGTGCCCCCGAAGAAAAACATGTAACGGATTTAAATCCGATGTCCTGAGTGGCCATGACTGTGGACCTGCACGCCCGATCCAATTTTCTCCAAAAGTTTTAACAAAAAATTGGCGAGCTACTGTGCTGAAGTGAGGTGGATACCCAGCGTGCGTAAACCATATGGCTCCTCTTACTTCCAGCGGGACATTTTCTAGTAGTTCAGGTAAAATAAATTCCAAAGATGCTGATACTCTTGACCATTTAATCTCGGGGGTAAAAAATGAGGTCCAATGAGATGATCTCCTACAATACCAATCCAAACGTTCACGGAAAACAAATGTTTATCTATTTGGTATAATGCGATGAGGATATCTTTCTTGGTAAATGCCCCTAGCCGCTCTAGAATTAAAAAAATGCGTATCGGCCATTTCTGTGTTTGTAAATTTAACAATTTTCCAATATTAGTAATTTTAGAGCATAAATTCAAACGAGGCGAGAATTCAAAGAAATCCAGGTGACAAAGAAGTTATATTTTTAGCGGCTTAATTCGGAAATTTTAAAAAGTCAGTAGCGCACAAATTTTTCTCAGTCATTGGTTATGGTGTTTTTCGGGACGCCACTGGTCTGAATAATTTCAATCTAATCGGAGCTAAATTAGCCTCTTACTGCGCCTAATACCACTGCTAAATTTAAACAAAATCGGCTTAAAGTTTATCAAGATATTTAGGAAAAACCGATTTTTAAAAAAAAGTTTGACACCCTGTTTCTTGAAAGTGAAGCATTTCTGGACCTATGTTTATATAAACTTGTCACCATAAATTACTCAAAGTATCACTTCCTGGACACGTCCTTAAATAACACCCTGTTTGTCTTTGTTCCACGGCCAACCGCAGGCAGCACTGATTAGTTGCCAATGAGCACTAAACACCATTGTCTGCGGTTGGCCGCAATACAAACGGAAAGAATAGATGTCCATTTCAACCACCTTTCTCATGAATTACAAATTAATAATGTTAGGGAGATATTGCTTCGTAACGCTTTCAGCATAGTCTCAGTTAGCCAAGGCAGAAATCGGCTGAACTACTAAGGATATCATATGACGCTGTCGCCGCGTCATGGCCAATTGAGATTGTCTTATTGTAAGTCGCGTGCGGAATATTTAAACAAGTGAAAAAGCAATACTCTCATATATATCGGAGACTTCTAATTTGAGAACTAGGCAATCTTCTACAAAGTTAAACGTAATGTGATTGATTTATAAAAAACTATTCGAAAAAAATGACCCTTTGGTTCTTTAAATCTAAGTTTCGTTCTCTTTTTTGATCACCCAGTGTTATCTATTATTCAAATCCGAAATAAAACATACTAAAGTAGGTCCCCTACTATAAGAGACCCCGTTACAAATCATATGACAATTGAATAACATAAAATGAGCAGTTTGGTACCTTCCAGTACAACCGGAAGCTCCACCATTTTGAAAATATTTTAGCCGAACCGCTTCCATCAGTTATACTATAAATCCTGCGGCAAGTATACGTGGGACACACTGTATATAGTAAAGAGACTAGTGTACCGCATCGTACTGTTAAAGCGGCAATAACAACAAATTTTAATAGTGATATCGGATGTTTTCCAAATCCAATACGCCGACTTTTCTTCCGTTTCTGTATATGAACTGTATAGTCATCGTTCCGGAACAAATATGTTCTAAATTGCTTACCAACATTGAAACAGCATACATTAAATATGTTATTATTTATTTGTTAATTTATTTGCAGTTTTGATCCAAATCCGCTGACGAGACATACGATATGGTCATTGATAATAGGAGGATGCGTATATCTCCTTCAAAATTCTGGTATAGATCAAAACATGCTTCAGCGGTACATGTCGTTGCCAACACTGAAAGATGGACGCAAGTAATAACAACTAGAGTTAATCATTTTTTCTTAAATAATCTCGGATATCTCTTAGGCTATATATATAGATAAACTGAGAAAAGTTTGTAATCTCAAATCCGGTTATTATCCTTTCAAATGTTTCTTTAATGTCTTTCTGAGTGCGTAAATAACAGCCTTCGACATTCATCACATCTACCTCCCCTTGGTCAAATATTACAAGCATAAATGGCTTTATTTACCTTTTTATCATGACGCATGCATTTTATTTAACTCTGTACTTCGAGAAAAAGTAGCTAGGTAGCAGACATGGTAGAAAATTTATCCCTTTATCATTATCATCATCGTCGTCGACATCATCATCATAATAATCATCACCATCGTCATATCACCATCATCCTCATCATCATAATAATCATGATCTTAATGTCCCTTTTAAATCGATATATTTAATTTATTTTAGAGCATTATGGGGGTTTTTCTTTGGATTATCTGGCATAGTGCTTATATGTTCATACTGCGGAATGATTCTATATGCCACCTACTATAAATGCGATCCACTGACTACTGGAGTAAGTTTCCATATTGGGTCAAACTGTAACACTCTTGCACACTGATTAAAACTACAAATTGGAGTTTAGCTAATATGTATTTCTGAAAAATAGTCTGTACGTAAGTTGGCAGCGATCCACAAAGTTCCTTCAGGAAATTCAAGCGGTTCATCCATTAATGCAAACAAATCCGTCAAAGTGATGATTCCATTTAACCTTATTCTACTCCATATTTCACCCTTGCTTTTTAATTGTTATTAAAGCGAGTGCTTCATGTATATTCTGGGTTTACAATAACAATACCTCCTAAAATACTTTGGGATTTGATTGCCGGGCGCTTGAAGTAAATTTAGGAACTTTGGCTACATTAAAACTTTCGTTTTTTTCACATTCACCTGGCTGCAAGGATTCTCCTGCATAAAGGGATGAGTGGCTTGAGATACGAATCCTCATTTGATTGAACAAAATGAGATTTTTTCCCGTTCCAGTTGGCCAAGCAAAAGGATCAGTTGCTGCCATTATTAGTTGTTGAAGTATTGGGGGATTTTCCTGGACTTCCAGGAATATTTATAGCTGGAATATTCAGTGCAGCTTTAAGGTGACTGTTCTTCTATTAATGGAATTTATTTGAATAGAATAAAGCAAAACACGAGGTGGTCCAATATTTTCAATACCGGGTGTTTCAAATTCGAACCTCACCATTGGAGTCTTGGAAACGGTAAGAGATACGGAGTCGCTTGGTGTGACAAAAATGTACATTAAGGTAACTATCAAAATCCTGTCTAGAAAGTTTCGTAATTCAAAGTACTTCTGGAGAGAGTCCCTAAAAATTGGATTCTCCCAAAATCGTTCTAATTTTCCAGCATCAACCTTATTTTTTCTTCTAGACGCCATATTGGATTTTTAGACATGAAGTTTATAGTTCTGACTCCAAAAATGTATAATATATCATACATTGTCATTGCCAAACCTTAGTCTCAGAACAACAGGTAGGCCTTGAAATTATCAGATCATCAAACTGAACATAGACACAGAGTTGGAAGACTGAGAAGAAGGGAAACTGGGTACATAGAAGAGTTAGACCTTATCTACAAAATGACGGACAAGGTTTTGAACATCTACTATGATTTACTTCTGCTCATTTATGATTATTAATGTTATTACTATCAATAAAGTATTCATTTCGTGTTCAGGTTTCACGATAACTTTTTATTTCCTTATGATGATGATGATAAATTCAAAGCCTACATCGAAAAGTCTGTTTTTTGTGATAACTAACGTTTGGTAATGCCAATGTATGACATATTACGGGTATACATTTCTGGAATCCTAATTGGAAACTGTATTCGCCTGTGCAAAAATTAACCTTTAATTATTTTTAAATCGCACTACGAATCAAGTCAGGACAAACTAAAACTGTTTTGGAAAAAATGGTTTTTTTCCGCCGCTCTCCGGAAATACTTTGAATTTCGGAACCTTCTAGCCAGCATTATTTTTGGTAACCTATATACGTAAGGCTGTCGCACTTTAAGCGACTTGGTTTCTTTTACCGTTCACGAAATCCTAATGGCGAAGGTCGAATTTTAAACACCCGGTATAGCCTTTTGCACTTTTTTCAAAATTCGTGTCCAATTCGCAAAACCGAGAGGGTTATTAAACAAACGATATAATTAATATTCAAATTAGTTTCAAAAGATTCCACCTAGACTGTAAAGCATTGATGCTTGTGAGAAGCGAGCCGTTGAGTTGGTCACTGCCTGAAATAATTTTGGACATTTTACCAAAGCGTTAAGTTTAAAATTGTTGTAGCTCCCTGTCTACTGGGTTGAACGCAATGGCTGCTGTGGTGTTAGAAGATTTTTACAAACCGTTTTTCAAGAGAAGTCTAACTAATAAACAAACTTTATATGTAATGAGGATTACAGTTATTATATTTGGAACGATTTGTCTAGGAATGGTTTACGTAATCGAAAAATTAGGAACCGTTTTACAGGTAGACCTTTTATTCAAAGCTTTTTTATAGTAAGGTGCCAAAATGAAAGAGAGCAATGAGTATTGAGATCCACGCAGATGTATACAAAGAAGTAGCACAGTAGCAGTGATGTACTATAGATTTTACAACTATCTTCCATTTTGTACATAAAAGAGTTAGAATGAGAAGTTGCTAGCTAAGAGATTGGCTTGAAGGCCCCAGAAGTAACATTTTATTTTATATATATATATTGCTTGTCTGTACATGGTGTTTTCAAAGTTGGGACATAACAGAGCATATAGCTCAGGCAATGATAAGCATGTTTTTAGTAAACGTGTGATGATTTACTAAGTCTATGTGAGCCAATATCCAAATCAGGCATTTTGTGGTGTCTATGTTAACCTAGTTTATGAACAAACCGCATTTGAACAACCGAAACTGGCACGTTACTGGAGCAATAACATAGTTATCGATATGATATGAGCAACCTCAAGATCCTATTCATACTTCGCGTGTGTACTCAGACTCAGAGCATCGCCGTCGTCCTCGATGTTTCTTTCCATCACAGCTGCATATGTTTGTTTTTATCCCGCAAACAGTGTTTGGCTCAACACAGTTGCAGACCTAGACATCCCCAAATGTATTAAATTTAGAAAGAGGTAAAAAAACTCTATTTTTGAATCGAACAGCAGTGTTTACAAACAAAACATATTAGAGGGCAGTACTTGAAATTCCTTACTAAACGAATAGTGAGCATTTTTATTCTATTTCTGTTTTACGTTTTCGGTGTTGTTTTGCCGCAAATTAGTTTTGGTATTGCAGAAGGAAAAGGAAACTCCCAACTTTCAGGATACCAGATTGGTGCAACTTGAGAAAGGTACATTGCATCGTTGGAGCTGGTTTATTCAACCTGTAGATAAGCATTTTAAGTAGAGTACAGTGTTAATTCAACCCGGTTGAAAATAAGGGTAGGTGGCATAGTTGGCAGGTTTCAGCTTCCACTCTAAGTCTACTAGAATGAGAAGTGGAAGAGTAGAAGCATCGTTAAATGGTCTACCATGTTAGGTCTAGAATGAAAATATTGTTGTCATATTGATAGAAAAAAAACAGAAGCCGTCTGTTAAGGGAGTAAGAGCATATATACCGGGTGTTTAAAAGTCGACTCTCACCATTGAGATCTAGGAAACAGGAAGTACCAAGTCGGTTAAATGGGAGGACGTGGAGCATTCTGGTGAGTAAGAAGGTATCTCTTAGAAAAATTCGTAATTCAAAGTATTTCCTGAGATCTATTTTATCACCGTTTGTATCTCTACCTGCCCTTTTGTGAGGTGGGATTTGAAAATTATCTCCAGATTAACATTGCCACATTTTCTCATCTATAAAGTGACATAATTAGAACTACGATATGACGTTTCGTCTCTTATCCTCATACATCAGACTTATTTATTCTTAAAAATGATATATCTCATTTTTGTAGGAGGAATAGAGTTTTCAACTCTGATTCTAAAAATGTGTAATATGACATTCACTGACATTACAAAATCTTAGTTATTTCAGAAAAACTAATATCTTTCAAGTTAACAAATTTTACTTTAATTGTGCATCGAATTAGATATGATGGATATTAACTTTGTTTAGCGTAGTTTTATTTTCTTCAAAAAGGTTTCTATCAGATTCTCAAGATTATTGTGTTTTCAATATTTTCATCACTGAACTTAAGTGATATGAAACCGCTACCATTACCTTGTTATTTATTGGATGAGTTAGGACCAACGATAGAAATATTACTTTTACAGAAATATGAAATCTTATGATATCAATCCATGTCATGTAATAGAAAATATAATACTCATTAAAATATAATATCTACTTGTGTATATCCAGTTCATAAAAACTGGAGGATTGCTTGACTGATGACATTATGAAAAAACGACTGATAACTTCAAGGCCTAACTAGTAAATTCTGTTTGTTGAAACTCTTTCGTTATAACAGTAATGGTTCATGACATATTATTGACGTTTAGAATTAAAATTAAAAACGCTACTGACGTGCAAAAATCCAATATGGTGTTCATAAGAACAAATAGAGTTGATGATTCAGGACAAGAGACTAAATGCCACACTGTAATTCTAATTGTAGCACCTTGTAGAGCAGAAAAGGTGGCAAAGCTTATTTTGAAATAGAGACTGTAGAGAATACCAACGATTTTGGGAAAATGCAGCTTGTTTTCGTCTATCTTTAGTAATAATTTGATTGCTGGGTTTGCCATTTCTTAGTTACTTGGATGTGCAGCGTTTCACGCATTTAACCGTTTCCAAGATCCCAGTGGGAAGAGTCGTTATCGAAACACCTAGTATGAGCGGTATTCCAGGCTGTATTAACCCTCTTAGAATTAAGTTTGTTGGCACCAGTTTTGCAAAACTTCTTTATCTACAATTGTTCATTCAGTTTTTTAGGGGTTTAGCTGTATAAAGTATGTCCTCCAATATGTACAATTTATTGATCTTAAATATTTTTGATCCGATATCTTTAAATAACGAATTCATTTTCTAGTTAACATTGAGCATGGGTGCTGTAGCTAGTGGACCTTCTTTGGGACTATCTACCATGGGAGTCTTTTTGCCCTGGGTGAACGCAAAGGTATGCCCTATCAGCTTAGTCTTAAAACTACATACATCAGAATTCATACTATATTTCAGGGCGCCCTCGCGGGTAGTATCACGTCTCTGATTTCTTTATCATGGATATGCTACGGAGCCCAAAGCATGATAGCTGCTGGAACACTGACTTTCCAACACAAGCCAGTTTCTACAGAGGAATGTAACTACCACTTCATGCCAAAACCATGGAATACGACTACAACTTTTGACTCAGGGTGGGCATATTTTTTTATTTGCATGTCCTTTCCAAGTAGTCGTAGGATAGATTTTGTCAAGTCACTAACTTATTAATAGTGTCTGCTCTTCACACTGTCATCTGAACTAATTCCATAATCATCTTTATTCTCTGTGTCATTGAAACATCCATTGTCTTTATCATCTTCTAATTTCTGTTTGGCGCCTATCAGCGGATTGTCGAAAAAAATCGACTTCGGACTTAGATACCTACACTACGGGTGCTTTTTTATTCATATGTGGCTCAGGTTCCTTGCTGCCCCAATCCATTCATTAATTTTATAAGTTTTATTCATGTACCAATTCCCTTCTAACATTGGTATACCTGCTTAAACGTTACGCATTTCTATAGTCTCCCGCACGGCTATTACGTATCTTGAAAAGCGACAATTTGTCGATTTTTTTGTCATTGTATTGTTTTTTTGTGACATTATGTGGGTTTTTCCACAAGATGTTAACTTAGCACTAGCTGATGGACACGTTGTGAACTCGTTTTGTAGTTGTACGTGTTGCCTAAACGTCGTGATGCTTCAGTTATCAATGTTTGGCTCTGATGTGATGTAAAATCTATTCCAGAGATGGCATTACTGGAGGTCTAAGCTGTAAGTTGCAGACTAAAGCTAGATGGAAACGGCAATGCATAGGTGCATAGTGAGGATTTGTGTGCTAATAAAATGTGTTGATGATGATTCCATTGGATTCTTGTCTCAGATACACTTACTTGAGATTCAAA